CGAAACCCAGTCAGCAGGCATCCGCCACGTCTCGACCCAGGGCAGCAGCAGGCGAAGCTCTGCGGCAGCACACAGGGCGCATCGGCGGCGGAGAAGGAAGTTGAGCGGGCCCGCCGCGGACCTTCTCTTGGCAATGGCGTACGAGCAAGGCACGTTGTCCTCGAAAGATATCACCTTACTCCTATAGAAACTTAGAACTTGCACCAACCTCTCCAGCGCCAGAACGACGGCCCGCATCTCCCCCACCGTGATGTGCTCCTCCCACCTCCACCGACCGGCAGCGACTGGGATCCAGGAGCGAGCCGTATCCCAGATCTCCTTCGGAACCGAACTGACAGGGAAGTTGGGGTGCAACGAGCGGGGGGCCTTCTCGAGGACGCGCTTCTCCTGGCCCAGGCGAGAGAGAGCGTATCCAGGTTTGGCCCCGGCTTCCCAAAGCAGGCGGGCCTCGATGTCCGACATCGCGGTGGCGACAATACCGTAGCCCCCGCAGTCTAGGCCGTTCGACCCCTCAGCATCCGTAGCCAGAACCACCTCCGAGATGGGGGCCCCCAGGTCCACGTAGAGCCCCACGAGCCCGCACCTCGTAACCCTCCATTCTCTAAGAGCACTGGGCCACCATCTGCGGAGCCCTCGACGCCCAGGGAGCCCCTCGTTCTGCTTAGCAAACTGGGAGATATGCTGCGGCGCCGCGAGCCAATGTCGAGCCAGCAGCGCCGCCCAAACCCAGACTCCCAGTAATGAAGATACGGCATCCAGAAACACCCAGGTGCGACGTTCTAGGTAGAGCATGGCCTCGTACAGGGCCGCGGCCTTCGGAGCAGGTAACGTAAGTCGAGCAGGATGTTGCTGGATCTCATAACCTACAACCTTGTCCATCTCGTCTGATTCACGGCGGTCGGTAACTTTAAAACCCAGCTCCACTAGGTCGTCGGCAGCTCGATGCATGAAAACGTTCGAGGCACCCCATGGAGACTATGTGGCCCTGGCGATCCGTCATCGCCAGGCCATCGTCAATATGGAGGTAAAAGCCTACATCACCTTTGTCCAAGACAATGTTTTGCATCTTGACGCTAGTCTCGTTGAGTATGCGGAGCCCCCGCTCGTGCCGGGAACTGCTCGGCCTAGACCATTGCGAAAGCCTAGCAGCACGACGCGGGGGAAGAGCAACTGCGAGCGGATCTGACCTCTCTCGGCGCTTCCTGACGAAGCTCCGTATGAGACAAGAAGCCAGGAAGCGGCTGAAGGCCGTCGGGTACGTAGCCGAACGTGTGGTCGCGAAGTCTGGCCGGTCCCCCTTCCCCGCAATGCGCCCGATGCTCCTGTGGTGGTGTCTTCCATCACATCGGCACTCTCCCTCCCAAAGCCCTTCGGCCGCGCCCGACAGCGTGGCCGCCTTGCGAGCCAGGCCGCCGTACATGCACTGATCAAGACTCACGCGCACAGCCGACGTGCGCTCCTCCATGGCACACATCACCTCCGCGCTGTAAACTGAGGGGTAGGGATCCTCGCCCGGGCCCTCGGGATGCTCGTGGATATGCACCCCTCCCTGGGCGGAAACTCCTTCGCAAAGAGACAGGAAATTCAGGGCCAAGAGATTGGTCTCCCGGACACGCCCCTTCTCAGCCTCTGTGAGCTCAGAGTCGGGGCGGCCCCAGACGTACTTGCCTCGAAAACGCAGCGGCCTCGGACCCCCAAGCAACTTGACGAAGCGGGCCCGAGACCACGTTGAGCAGGGAGGCCCTCCAACAATCCCGTCAATGTAACCCTGGGCCACCAGGCGCCACAACTTCTGGAAGGTCTCAGGAATGGCGAGGTCCCAGCTGGGGTCCAGCTCGAGGTCACACGAGAGCACCAAGATCTCCAGGCCGTGCGCGGCCCCCAAGACATGGAGCCACTCCTCCAGATCCCCTGGCCTCCTCGGACCTGCGAACAGGTGCATGGCGACAGCGACATCCTTCCCCGACGTCTTAACCTCTAAAACCTTCTGAACCCAACCGTCCACGGTGAACCCCTTACCTACGTCCTCGGACTTCTTAGCTATGCTCTCCTGGGCCCAATCCTCGTCGTTCTTACCCAAAAACTGGCCCTCCTCATTGACGTCGAAATCCTCCTCCGAGTAGCCCCGCCACAGGCCGCAGCTGCGAACAAGCGTGCGGCCCACACTGGTCATATGAATATTCATCGGGATGTGGGCGCTGTGCGAACCCCCCATGACTAGGCGTTTCCACATAGGGTAGATCCAGTCTCCAGGCCTGGCCCGCTCCCGGACGCCCCAAGGAAGAAGAGCCCAGATCAGGCCGGCCCGGATAGGGGGCACAGCTTGCCACGCCCACATCCACTCAGGTACCTTCACCGAGGTGAAAGCATTGCTCTCGTCGAAGGCCGACGCGCTGACGAAATCGCTCGGCGCGTGCACACTGGCCAGGGCTGCCCCGCCGTGGAGCCCGTGCCCCTCGCGAGGACGTACATCTTGAAACATATAGTTCGAGGCCACCATCATGATAATCTTACGTTTTTTAGCTGGGTCTTTCTTGGGCATCACTGAGAATCCTGCAATATCTCGAGCGTCCTCTCGAAACCCAAACTTCCAGAGATTGGGGGCGATGTCCTGCCTCAGGAAATACCGAGCGTACTCCTCCTCAGATCCTCCGACGAAGCCGTACTGCTGTTCGAGCTCCCGAAAGATGGTCTGCGAGCGGGCCTCTGGGGCCGCGACAACTTGGGCCTCCTCGGAGTAGAAGGCCGCTTCCTCTGGACTCAACGCGGACAACATGGGCGCCACTCGGGGATCCAGGGGCTCATCTACAGCATCGGCTCGCAGGGTCTCATGCGCAATCTTGCGCCTCTGGGCTTCCGTGTATGATAGAGCTGCCGAATTCACCAACTTCTCGATGGCCTGGGCGCCTGTCAGACCGCAGTCCCGGCGCGCCTCTCGAAGCCGCGCTGCCTCACGTAGAGCCAGTCGCTGAATTTGCTGGTGGTGGGGGAGCATCTCCTTCAAACGATCTTGATCACGGCTCCCCCGCGTGAGCTCTCGGCAGTCTCCCCGATACATGGCGTTCAGAGCCGACAAGTACTCATTAGCCAAAGTCATCAGGGCGAACTTCTTGTGAAAACGCTGGCGGAGGCGGTTGGACGCGCTGTGTGGCCGCCCAGGAGCCTCCACCAAAGGGATCGGGTACAATTTGGCGCCAGCCGCCGTGTGCAGCAACTCGCGCAGCCCGCGGGTCTCGTCTAGCACCTGCTTCTGGACCCATCGGCCGCACTCAGTGCCTCGGCTGGTAGCTGCTGTCCCAGCCGAGGCGACCCTCTGTCACTCAGCCTTCTTGGCCCCCCCTGGCGGGGGACCCTTCTTGGTCTTGTCCTTCACGCCCTTGTCGCCCTTGCCGCCCCGCCGCCTCAGGTCGGCGGCCACCCTCTCGTTTCTCTGGTGCTCTGCCTTGCTGTGGGAGGTGGCCGACTGCACCAGCCAGCTCGGCGCGACGTCGGTCTGGCTGCCTGGAGGCGATACCCCCAGCATGTGGAGCGCTCCCGTGCGGTCCCCTGACCTGCTCTCATACATATACGCCGCCAGGCGGCGGAGGGAGATCTCCATCAGGTCGCTGGTACTCAGGAACTTCATGAGGTCATCTTCGGTCTTGCAGTCCCGCACGGCAAAGTCCACGGTGGAGGCCAACGTCCATAGATCGGTCCACACGGGCGACGTGCGGCTCCCGCCGTACCGAGCCGACAACCAGTCTCGTGTAGAAGTACATCCTTCAGCCCTCATCGCTCGATAGATCTCCGCGCCGGCCCTCTGCATATCTGGCGGGAGGCTGGCCCCCCATCTCGTCTCCTGGCTGCCCCCACCCGCCGTGGCCAAACCTCCGAAGCCCAGCGGGTCGCCCGCCGTCCCGCCGAGGGCAGGCGCTGCACTGGAGGCCAATGCCTCCAGCCCTCGGGCCAGGTCGGCCACTCTCGGCACCGTGACGGTACCTGTGCCCACGTAGCCGTACCCGCGCAAGAGGTGCACCACGGACGTGTCAAGGCGGCCGCCTTGCTCGAGCCTCGCCACTGAGTCCCAGAACTTCGTGGCCCAGTAGGGGTCCGCGTGGGCGGTGGCGCTGGTGCTCATCAAATAGTCCTTCACGAGGGCGGCGCCCGCCTTGCTGGTGGCTCAGACCTCGGTCGGACGATGGACGGCCTCACCGCCACCCGCGGTCCCAGGCGTCCCCGCCCAGCCCGCCAAGTCGCCGAGGGCGCTGGCCCCCGCAGGCGCATAGCCGCTGGCGGCGGCGGCGCTGGCGCCGAGGGCGGGCGGTAGGGCGGGGGCTCCACCGGGAATCCCGAAGGGCACGGCGGCAGCCAGCCCCTCGGTCTCGCCGTCGGGTCCGCCTTCTCCATGGTCACCTCCTGCTGCCATGCCCGATGCCCGCATCAGCTCACGCATCCGCTCGAGCTCGTCCTTGAGTGACTGCATGTCGCTGTCGGGCAGCGCTGGGCCTGCGCGGCGGGGTAGCCAAGGCCACGCCAAGCAGGACAGGGCGCCTAGGATCGTGATCATGCCGACTGCTGCCCCTCCGAGCGCCGTTCTCCACGTAGAGGCCCCACGCGCCAGCATGAGGCTCAGGAAGCTCACGCAGGCGAGCGCCCCGCTGGCTCTCATGCGGAAGCCCAGGGGCCAGGGTGAGGACGCCCCTGTCTCAGGGGCGGGCATCATGGCCCGTGACGTCGGGCACAGTAAAGTAAAACGTGATCCCGCGTGCTTGAGCATACGAGGCGGCGGTGCTCTCTATGCTCCCTCCCCATGCCCCAACGTGCTCACCGAAAACTACCATTCACGAGCTCATTAAACCATTGTTTGCCTTTTTGGGGCATTTTTGGGGTATGTTTCATTTTTCGTCGAAAATCCCCCTGTAGGGGACAGGCCCGACAGAAAGCAGATTTCGTACCCCCCCCCCTCTCCCCATCCCCCCCCTTTCCTCCGACCCGGGCTGCCGCGGCCCACCCGCCGCCGCCTTCGCCTCGAGCTCGGGCACCAACTCGCAGACGATCGCCACCGCCTCCACCTGCCGAGAGAGAATCAGGAGGGAAAAAAACACACAGACACAATGACTCGTCGATTCCCAAGAAAATATGGGAAAATATGTGGGAAAAGGGGGAGGGGGGGGAAGACAACAAGCCGAGGAAAATATGGGAACATATGGGGAATCCCTTTGTTTGTGTGTCTTTGTCTGTGTGTCTCAGGGCCCCTTCAGAGAGAGCGGCAGCAGAGGCCTCCCGGCTGGGGCCCCCGCGGCCGGGGTGGCCGGGTCGGGCCCCGTCGCATCGGCCCATCGGCGACGCACATCGGCGACGTCGACGACGCATCGGCGACGTCGGGCTGGGCGCAAGGGGGGGATAGCAAAGGGGGGGTTTGAGAATCAGCTCACGTATAGCTGAGTTTCCTGGCGCCTCCCGGCGCCGGAGGCGCCCATGTATCGAGGCATGGGCCCCTCGGTGGGGCCGGGCCAGCTGCATGCAGCAGATTTCGTACCCACCCCTTTCCCAAACCTCCCCTTTCGCCCGACCCGAGCGATGCACCGGCGGTGCATCGGCGACGCCGGCGTGGAGAAGCTCTCGGGATCCACATCGAGGGGGGTGTCAACTGTACACCTGCACCGATCTCGGCCAGGCTCAGCCTGGGCTCGGGATTGGCCTGGCCAGGGTCTGAGTAGCTGTGTGGGCGTATAGATTCAGCAGGGACCGACCGTCCCGGCAATCCCATAGGCCTGCCGCGACATGTTCTTAGAACCCACAAATGTTCTAAGAGCAAAGACAGGGATCGGCGCTGCGGCGCGATCCTCCGACCCCACCTGGGATGCCTACGGTCGGGAACTCTTGGATAGCGTGTCGCCACGGCGGCCCCGGCGACACGCTAACCCCTGCGAGCGGAAAGCGTGTCGCTCCGCTCCGCGGGGCGGGAGGCTCGGAAAGGCTCAGCACGTGGACGCCTCGGGGGCCGCGAAGCTGATAGCGTGTCGCTCCAAAACGCGGCTGGCCAGAAGTGGCGGAGCCACACGCTATCCCAAGTTCCCCGATGCCGCGTCTACACCGATCATGGGCTCAGGATGGGCCTAGCTGGTATCGGTGCAGGTGTATAGCAGGTGCCATCCGATCATCGAGCCGCACCGCCGATGCATCGGCGATGCGGCGCGATCCTCTTGGAGGCCCAGAGGGCAGGAGAGCCCAGAATCAGATCGAGAAGTCGGATCGGCGATCGAAATGAATCGGAACGGCGGAAGTTGTCAGCCGAGTCAAGAAAAATCGCATCGGCGGACATCGGCAGGCTATAGTATGTCTCCAATGAGAAATCGGAACCCCAATCGGAATCCCAAGTCGAGTCGAACCGGAATCGGAAGCCATCGAGGTCGAATCGAATCGACTCGGCGGAATCGAAGCGAACCCTGGAGGGATGGCACCTTCCTCGATCACCATTGTGGTGAGCCCCTTCCCGACGGGAAGGCCGAGGGCGCGCTGCTCGCCGGTGCCTGCCAAGGGCCCCCGAAGATAAACTTTCGGAGCTCCGCGCGTCTTAGCTACGAGCGGAGTAACAAAGGAGTTCCGCGCGGATGTCTTGGAACGGCTCGGTAGGCACCGCCAGGGGGTCCCAGCGCCGGTCCAAGAAATCCGCGCGGAACTCCGAACATATTTGTGTATACCGTTCTCTCATCTTGCAAGGTTGGCCTGCCAAGGAGCCCCTGGATTCGTCGAAGGAGTCCGCGTTTCAAGAACGGACAGCAGAACTCAAGCAGACTGACCAGCGATCTTTGCGGCCAGGCGGAAAGCAGAACTGCTACAAGAGGGTGACACCAGGCAGGGGTGATGGGTGACTCGACGCACGTGCCCCCGACAAGTCAGGGGTGATGAGTGACTCGACGCACGTGCCCCCGACAAGTAGCTGGAGCAGCTGGGGCATTCTATACACCGAGCTCCTTCACCGGGCCTCTCTCAGTCTCTCTCATAGAAGAAAACACGCCATGAACAGAAGCTGTTGGCGCTCCACGGAGATTTCCTGGATCTGCGCTGGTCCGTCGCTCCACTGGCAGCTGCCTCGCGGGCGCGCCGAGAGACCGCCACGGCCGCCCCGGGCCCGCCGCAGCGGAGATCAGGGCCCCGGAGATCAGCGGAGATCAGGGCCCATGCACGGGTGCTGAAAAATGCGACCTTGCAGGAAAGGATGTCGTTTCCTTGGTTTTCCGTGCCCTGGTTTATCTTGGTCGCCCGAGTTATCCGGGGTAACTCGGGTCCGGGGTAACTCGGGTTTGGATTCCCGAAAAAGGAACCCGAGTTAGCCCTGACCCGAGTTACCCCTGATGATTCGGGGCTCTGGACGCCCGAGTTATCCGGGGTAACTCGGGTCCGGGGTAACTCGGGTTTGGATTCCCGAAAACCGAACCCGAGTTATCCCTGACCCGAGTTACCCCTGATGATTCGGGGCTCTGATTATCTGTGCCCTGGTCTCCGGGGGGGCCCGAGGAGAGGCGCGGCCGCCTCGGCTGGCCTCGGCGGCTCGTGCGGCGGGCGCCGCTTCAGCAGCGCGAGCGCCTGGCGCCCGGCCTGGCAGCGGCCCTCGTCCGTCAGGTCCTGCGGCGAGGGCCCGGCTGCGCTCGCGTCGGGAGCAACGTCGCGGCGGGGTCAGGGACAACTCCCCTGACCTTCCAGGAGGGCTAAAACAAGCACTCGATTTACAAACCTATCCCAGAGCTATTCTATGTCTTGGTTACAAGCTGTTTCGTTTCGTTTTTTAGGTTTTTCGGCCTCCCGTGCTAAAAAACAACTCTCTGGAAGGTCAGGGTCATGACGTGCGCTTTTGTCGCTGAATCCGGCCTCCCGGGGGCCACGTTCCGTGGCCCCATGGGGAGCTCCACCGAGTGCCTCCGGGGCGCAGTTCGCATGCGGTTCCTCCTTGAATTGGGCACAACGCTTGCACGTTTCGTGGCCCCATTGGGAGCACCACTGAGTGCTTCCGTGGTGCACTTCGCATGCGGTTCCCCACCCATTTCGGTACACCCCTCACACGTTTTGTGGCCGCGTAGGGAGCTCCACCGAAAGCGATAGCCACAACGCGGCACTCGCAACTTCATATGATTGGGCCCTTCGTCGGGATACTTTGTTCGGGACGTCGGATCTCAGGGCGTCGGGAACAAAATCACGATGGGCAATTTTTCGGCATTATTAGCTTCGCTGGGTCCCGGGGCCGTCAGAAAACGACTCGGCATGACAAGCTGGTCCCCAGGAACTGGAACTTCCTGGGGACCAGCTTTTCATAACGAGTCGTTTTCTGACGGCCCCGGCGTCATGACTCTTTCACAACATCAACCCCACCCAAGAGGTCTCGACCCATTTCCCAGGACCTCCTGAGTCGTTTTTTGACAATCCCGAGGCAAAAACCTTTGCAAAAGCCGACACTAGCGAAACACCTCCCGTCATGCTATCTTTGATAACGTGTGCCCCAGAGATGGAGGAAGAGGAGGGGGGAGGAGGGGGAGGAGGAGGAGGAGGAGGAGGAGGAGGAGGAGGAGGAGGAGGAGGGAGGAGGGAGGAGGGAGGAGGAGGGAGGAGGAGGAGGAGGAGGGAGGAGGAGGAGGAGGGGGAGGAGGAGAGAGGAGGAGGGAGGAGGAGGAGGAGGAGAAGGAGG